CCCTTTTCTAACATTCTGATCGACCTATTTCTTTTTCTATGTGGAGCCATTAGGAAGATATTTCTTCCCTTCGGCTATGATCAGGATGGCCACATATGTGATGTGTAAATAGCATAACCATACGGATTTGGTAGCATTAGCAAAAAGGAATAATATACCGATGTGTGAATGGGCACCTTTATCCCTGGTGTATTATTGCTTTAGAAGTGATGATGTTTATGGAGTACTATTAGGTGAATACCAGTGTTACCTGGATAATACTGTTAATTGAAGAGCCCAGTTGCTTCAAGGGTAAGGATTTTCCTGGAGTGTTATTGTAGGAAGCCTATTGAGGTGGCCGTACTACTCATCTGTGCAAACTACTGACATGCTTATCCTTTCCTTACACCAGGGGAACAACCTGCCGGAGGTACTCTTCTTTGCAGGATACCGATGTTTGGTTGTAACGCCCCTGCTGCGCCTGGAGGAACGTGTAGTAGGTTTATGTGAAATGCATGAATATTCTACAACTGTCGCCTAAACCGTACCAATGTGTCTGGATTCTCAATAGTCCAGAATCCCGAGATTCCCATGGCATTGTCATAAGAACGCCCATATAGCTCAGTTATCTGCATGACCTCCAATGCAATCATACTAAGGTGTACCATTATGTGTTGTGAGTTATCCCATAATATCATTATATTCAGACTAGTATGTTATGGAAAAGTGTGTGTACGAGCAGTACGGTTATGTTCAAAGTATTGTTGTGTGGATAATACTTCTATTTAAATAGAGGAGTCTTCTACTGATTATTCATGATTCGCAATGCCAATATGAAGAGAGTACACACGCATGTATAGTACTGATATGTGGAGATAGCGGAGGTGCTTGTTACACGGCCATCTGGATTGTGGAGAAGTTGATACAGTCGTATTAATTGATGTATTCCGGTGATAGGATATATATCGCGTAACCTTTTACCATTTGGGGAAAACTATCTCATGAGGAATGAACAGGCTCCGGTAGTATGTTTATGTGAAGGATACTTCTGTGTTGAGTGTGTTGATGTGTGAAGTGCACTGTTAATTGAGGGAAGCTAATGTTATGTAGGGGGCCATGTACCTCGATGAATAAGCCTATCCTTGGGTTATCATGATGTCAAGTGTCTTGATGTAAGTCTAATGACTTCATTGGAACACGTGCGGAAATGCGGAGCTCCTAGGGCCCATCTGTAATACTATTACATAAAGAGTATTGTTACTCGGGGAGTATGATGATCTTAAGAGTACATTTTTGTCTCAGGTATTGATGTTCCAGGAGTGAAGTTGTGCTACGGGTACCCTTCTATCTGCCACTATGTGCCTTCCTTAGTACGACTATATATCTGTGGTACTATTGTTTGAGAAGTACGCTTGTACAAGTAATACCGTTATGTTAACAATACTGTTGTTCGGATAATACGTTCATTTGAAGTGCACAGTTGTATAGGAGTATCGAGGACTCGAGGTATCATTATCTGAAGAGTACTTGATTATATGCCGTATTCATATCCCCAGAGTGCTAAGATGCCTGCTACATTCCTATTCGAAGCGTCACAAACTTAAATCAGTACTGTGAAGTAATGTATGTTAAAGTCGATAAGATATATGGCATAATGTTTTATCATATGCGGAGCGTTACATCATGGAGGGTATAACCGTTCCCGTAATAGTTCTATATGGACGTTACTATAGTGTGAACAGCATGGTCCTCTTCAGTGTTCCCACCTTTGAAGAGTATTACGGTTAATGTACCGAATGGTGTCCCTATGTGAGCCTGCCTGTCTTTGGAGTGCCATTATGTGAAGGATCTAGATTTAAGTTTAATGGCCCAATTATATGAAGTACAGGATTGTACAACCCCTAAAGAATGTTGACGACACCATTATTTCAATAGTACTAGGGTGCGAAGAGTACTAAGATGTAGACGCTGCTTCTGTGTGTGGAATACTGATATTCTACGAGTGTCATTATTTGGAGAGCAGTATTCTGTGGTACGTAGGTATATTGCAGAAGAACTATTCGCTAAACAATACGGATGTGTATGGATTTCTAATGGTGCAGATTTCCGAAGTCTCGTCCTGTATTCTTATATGAATGTACTAATACTTCATCTGTGGTAATATCTGTTGTGCATTAATGTCTCAGTAGAATACCTCGGTTAGAAGTATGCATAATCTTCAACTGTATTTTGTGAGTATACTCATATGTGTGTAGTACTGTCATTTACGGACAAGAATTGTGTGCATATTATGGATGTCCCTGAAGCACAACTATCTGGAGGGTAAAAATTTCGAAGCCCACGATTTTGAC